TATTGGACGCGTTCACATTGCTGCTCAGCGGACTGAGCCGGTCGAGAGATTCCTGTTTAACGGGCTCCGAGCGATCCACAACGCCCGTGGTGATGCTTGTCTTGCGGGATCTGGAGTAGGCAAGGTTCGCATGATGCTGCAGTCTTTGGTTTTCGCGTCGCCTCTGCAGCAGCTTATCCTGCAGCAGATTGTATATGGCATAGATGTTATCGAATCGTTGCTCGTGCACCGACTGGGCAATCATGTCGGCCGTCAGGCCAGGCAGCTGCAGCATGTGCGTCATGACCACAGCATCCAGCTGTGGTGGCGCCGACACCTCGGTGCCATCGCCACCGGAAAGCGATGTGGTTGAGCTGCCCAAAGAGCTGGACTGCATTTGCGAGCCAGCCGTGCCAAAGGGCAGCGCACTCCCATCCAGACGCTCCTCCTGCTGCAGCTCCGCCTGCCAGTCGCTCAGCCAGCGATGTTTGATGATCTGTTTGATGGTGTAGCGACGATCCGGCTCGACGACAAGCATATTTCGAATCAAATGCTCACAGTCTGTGGAGGCAGACAGGCAATTAGCGACAATTATTGTATATGGCTTCTTCGACTCACCCTGCGACATAAAGAAGGGTATACGGAATTTGCCCTGCACCACACGGCTTTTCAGCTCCAATATGGTCGTGCCATCGAAGGGCAAAGCGCCGCAGACGAGAGCATAGAGCACTACGCCCAAACTCCAGATGTCCGACTTGGGTCCGTCGTATTCCAGACCCTGGAACACCTCGGGCGCCGCATACGGCGGTGAGCCGCACCACGTGCGCAGCAAGCTTCCCGCCTCATAGTGATTGCTAAAGCCAAAGTCTGCCAGCTGTAACGGATTAGAAGATATTAGAAATCATCTAGGGTCATAGTTCAAGTCCGATTACCCACCTTTATATTCATGTCCTTGTCGAGCAGCACGTTCTCTGCCTTGAGATCCCGATGCACCACGCCACGCAAATGACAATAGTGCACCGCCGAGATGAGCTGTGTGAAGACACGCGCAGCCTCCGGCTCCTTCATCCGTCCGTTGGCCACCAGATGGTCAAAGATCTCGCCATTGGGCGCATATTCGGTAACCAGGTAGATCATCGACTGTGATTCCATCACCTCGTAGAGGCGTGTTATGTGCGGATGACGCAGCGATTTGAGTATCGATATCTCGCGAAACGTCTTGCTCAGGTATTCCTCGTTGAGGCATGTCTTATCGATGATCTTGATGGCCACCTGGAATTGCGAGAGTATAGGAAACAAAGCAGATCACATCAGTCAAAGCACACAGCACTCGGGGCACACAGCAACAATAATTCGGATATGAATGCAAAATAATATTTTTGGGTTTGGTACCAGAAGGTGAACGAACCGGGCTGAAAAGGAGAATGCGACGATTGACAAACAAGAGCGAGCCGAGAGATAGCCAGAAATTCCATCTGTGTGTGGGCTGCTGCTGACAAAATCTTGCTCTCTCAGTAACAAGAGCAAATGACAGCGAATCAGAGCATGCCGACTATTCAATACACTTTCAAAGTAATTGTTCTTAATAATTTGTTAATAATTGATGTGATGTTAAATATTTTAAAAAAATTTTTTAATTTTGATAAATTTTTATATTATATAGAGAAGTTATATATGAAAAATATGTGAGGTTTTAAATGTAAATAAAAATAATTTAAAAGTAAAATTGTTTTAATATAATAAATTTGATACTGGTCATAAAAGGTTTATTTTTTATTATTTTAATACAATAAAATTTATGCTATTCTATTCAAATGTTTATTGTATTTTTAGGATAAAAATTCCTCAAAATTAAATTGAGTAATAAATTAATATATTTCATATTATAAATAAATTTCAAAGATAACCCAAAAAATGTGTATAAAAATAATAATTTTTTTATTTATTTATGTGGGAGACTTATTTTTAATCAATTTACTGCACACAAAAGTGTTGTGTTTAACATTTTTTAAATTTAAGAAACCTTAAAAAATATGAATTAATACTTTCAAATTCAAATAGAGAAACCAATAATAAATAAAGACTAAAATTAAATATATATTAATTACGCTGAACACTTTTAGTACTCTTCATAAGCTATACAAAATGTCATATACCACCATCATAGCCTACGTAAGAGTATATCAAGAAAAAAGAAGCAAGAGATAAACGTGTCTCGGCTGGGATAGCACGGTCGCAGTTGTTGCTGGGGGTCAGGTGGTAGGTGGCGCACTGTCTGCAGCCACACTGGCAGCAGCAACAACAAATACAACAACAACAGCAAACACGACAAGCACGACGACGACGAAGACAACACCAAAGATGGCGCGAGTGTTAAATTCTGTGTGGTTGTAGCAAGAGAGGTGCTGCCTTGATGATCATCATTATGATGATGATGATGATGACAATGGGCGCAGCGGCAGCAGCGTATGCTTTAAGATAGACAGAAGAAGCAGAGCCAACAAAAAAAAAAAAAAAAAAAATTAAATAGTAAAATAAAAAATAAAAACATTCTTTACAAACGACTTTAGACAACGTTGTCCGTTTATTTGCTTTTGTATTTCTGCCAAGCATTTCAATAATTATTTAACAAAAAACTGAAATAATTAACAATCAAGCGTATGGTATATGTGCACGATAGAGTGAGCAATAGCCCACAGAAAAAGAGAGGGCGACACAGAGAGAAGGAGAGAGAAAGAGGGTGAGAGTGGGAGAGTAAGCGAGGTACATGATCACTTGTTCTTATAGCAACAACAACAACATCATCATGATGAGCCTGAGCCGCATACCGGTTTTTCAATTTGTTGTTGCTGTTGCTGTTGCTGTTGCCGTCGCTGCCTCAACATTTAAACAAATTGAGTTTTGTGGCCGTTTTGCTATTAAGCCTTAAGCAGCACTTTCTGCCGTTGCTCAGTTCGCGTGCAATGATTGAATATAAATAAATAAGAATAAAACAAAACAAAATCGTTTACAGCAGAATTTATAATTTATTCTACATGGCGTCACATGGCGTATGCGTAATATATTAACTCATTCGCCTCTAGACACTGTCTAGTTATTTTAATCAATTCTTTTTCGATAATCAATAAATAAATGTAGTATTTTTAATTAAAATCAAACATTTGGTATTGCTGCTGTCTGCTTTAGCTACTGCAACACTTGGCGTATGCGTAATATTTTCTGCAATGTCATTTGCCAAGTTGTGATTTTGTATGAGCTTGGCGCAACTGTTTGCTAATCACATTTGCCACGTGACTCATATACTAAATAAATACAGTTAAATGTTTATATATTCATATACTAAAATGTGGATAGTTTAGTCGATGGATAGGGAGAAGAGTGGATGATTAAGTGGATAGATATATGAATATATAAAAAAAAATGTATATGAAATATATAAATACTATAAAGATAAATATATAGTTAGGTGGAATATTCTAGATAGTAATGAATGCTCTATATAGAAATGAATATGCCAAATTCTGTAGATAGATATAGATTTACTTTACAACATTTTAGTTAGGCAACATTGATTGAAAGATCTATTTTAGATTGATAGACAATGCATAGGCTACACAAGACAGGAGGCACACACACACTACAATCTATATTCATGCCCATCCAGCTATACCATATTGTATATAAACATAGCAAACTATCATAACATTCATCCACAATTGAAAGGTCAAGTCAATTAAAAGTTTTGGATTAATAAAATATGTTATTACAGAGTAGGTCGCCCCATTCTCCGCTGGACTGCAAATGATGTACCACACAATAATTGCATTGAGACAATTGTTTTGTCAGCTGCTGATGGGCACACAAGGCGAAATTTTTGTGCCGTTGCGAAATGCCATTGCCACGTGCCATTCTGACCTTTTGCCGCGAATGCGATGAACCTTAAGAACAAACGCTACTAAATGAGACATTCAAAATAAGCGCAACAACAGCAACAACAACAACAACAGCAACAACAACAACAACAACAGCCACAATGTCACATTTGGATATCCTTCGCTGGGCATAACACAAAATAAAGAAGGGAAAATATTATATAGCCAAGGCAAGCACAGAAAGGCAGAAAGGTTCGCTCCTTGGCGCACATATTGATTTAAAGGCTGGAGGACTACAACAACAACAACAACAACAGCAACAATAACAAAAGCCGCAACAACAACAGCAACAAAAGCGAATGCTAAATGCTATTACAAAATGTAAATTCCTTTTGATTGCCAAAGCTGTGACTCATTTGAGTCGTTCACGGTTCACAATTTAGCATTTGAATTAACTTAAAAGCTGAAACATAAATTTACATTTGAGACGTTCTCTCGCTCGAATTGCATTTGCAAAATGGAAGAAGATTTACAATGTGTGCAAATAGGCTCCATCAAAAGGGCAATCAGCTTGAGCTTTAGCAAGAGTCAAGCAGTTTTATTCATATGTGACTCTGCTCAAAAGTGAACTAGTTCTTTCCATTGTTATCAACTGATACGATAATGATTGAGACATGTGAGCAAGAGAGCTAGCTAAGACGAATCAGAGAATAGGTTTTTTATAATAATGATGTTTCATATGAGCATGAACTAGTTCATATGGATTCATGATTTTTTTCTGGTATACATTTTATATTATAAAATTATGATTTATATATATTATTATAATTACTGGTATATTATAAAATTAAACTAGTTTAGATGAACTTTTGAATATTGATTACACCGAATCAGTTCAGATGAACCAGCGAATGTTGAATGACAATAAAGACAGTTTCAGAACTAGTGTGAATTTACAAAATTATGCAAACTGTGGGTCATAAGAGCACATGTTGAAAGTGAACTAGTTCATAGGAATCAGAATTAATAAATTTTGTTGTATTTACTGAAAAGTATGATAAATATTTTATATGTTGAGTTTTAATGCAATGGAACTAGTTCATATAAACATTTGATTATTAAAGCACTTATTGAAAGTTATTGTTAATGTTGATTTAAAATCAAGTCGAACTTATTTTTATTTGTATTGTGTATGAATATATAAAAGTTATTCTCATAATTTCTCAAATGCTGCCCTTCCACACGAAATCGTTCTCCCGCTCCATTTTCGCGTACTCCTCCCGCAGCATCTCCAGTTCTTTGGCATTTTGGGCACTCAATCGCTCCAGCTGGCCATTGAGCGCCACGATGCGCTCTCGCACCACATTCACCGTATACAGACTGAGCCGCTCCGGCTGGAAGACATCCTCCTTCAGTGTGTTCATGTAATGCCACATCTCCTGCAGTTGGCCACGTTTCTCGGCATGATGCTTGCGCAGCTTCTCATCCATATCCAGCTTGAGTCGATCAATGTCATTGATGAGGCCAGCGACTTTATTGCCGCTCGAAGGCCGGCGACTGCCAGACTTTTTATCCTTGCCGCCATTACCCTTGGCGGCGACACCCGCCTCCTGGTAGTCGTGGTCGTCGTCGTCGTTCGCCTCATTCGTCTCAGGGTCGTTGTCATCGAGAAAATTGTTGGCATTCAGCTTGACTTGATTGCATTCGAGATACTTTTGCTGCGCCTTCAGACGCATCAGTTCGCACAACAGGCTGGTGGGCGTGGTCGTTGGCTTCTTTTTGGCACGCAGCGGCTTGACGGGCGCTCTATGCTTCTGGCACGTAGGCGTGGCACTTGCCTCCTCCTCCATATCGTGTTCCACGCGCTTTGCCGACATGTGACCTGCTGGCTGCCTCAAACGCTGGCGCCACACAAATGTTGCACAATGCAGGGCGAGTCCTTGCAACTTGTATTGTTATTGTTGCTATTGTTGTGGCTGATGTTGTTGTTGTGGTTGTTGTTGCTGTTTACACGCGGTAATCAAACGTGTGTTGCCAGCCCAACCACCCCGCCACGCTACACCTGGCTGTGTGTTTAATCAATAGTTGAAACACGCCCACTTTTTCTCAGCTCTTTTACAACGGCTGCTGCAATTGATGCTGCCTCAGTCTCTGTCCCCCTCTCTCTCTCTCTCTCTCTCTCTCTCTCTCTCTCTCTCGCTCTCTCTGTTTCTCTTTTGCACTCTTTCACTTGCGCTCTCATTTAACCCTAGCGCGTCGCGTTTTTATGCCAAGGGTCGCTAAACTTTATGTGGGTTAGCATAGGCTTCACTTTAAACAATTTCCCCCAAACGCTGGAGAAAATCGATTATTACAAATTCTCATAGCTCTGGCCTACTCAATGTAAGGGCAAATGCCAGTAGCTGAATAGAAATATATATATATATATGAAGACAATAAAATAGGTCTTTAATGCGTAGAGCAGGGCTTTGACATTTAATCGAGCAAAAGGCGATAAATCATTTATAGAAAGTGTTGAAATAATTGAGCTTTACTTGGTTAGATTGAGAGCGAGAGTGAAAGAGAGAGAGAGTGACAGATAGAGGCTTTAGAGAGACAGAGAGAAACCGAGAGTGAGAGAAAGAGTGAAAGATAGAGGCTTTAGAGAGACAGAGAGAGACCGAGAGTGAGAGAAGGAGCGTGAAAGTTAGGGACCTTAGAGAAAGATAGGCAGGGGAGAGATATTGACAGATAGAACCTAGAGACCGAGGTAGAGACAGCCCATATAAAGTGGGAGAGAAAGAGATACCCTAGGAAGAGAGAGAGAGAGAGGTGGAAATAGAGACACCAGATAGTAAGAGAGAGAGAGAGGGAATGAGAGATAGGGAGCTAGAGAGTGAGCGAGAGAGAGAGAGAGAGAGCGAGATTATCAGGTAGCTGTGCACGTGATTGATTCGCAAATTGTTGCGTTGTTTACGTAGCATTGTTGTTGTTGTTGTTGTTGTTAATTTACGACTGGAAGCGTATTTTGATAACGCGCTTGTTATCATATGAATGCGAATGTTTATCGAATGTGTGTGTAAGTGTGCGTGTGTTGTATGAGTGTGTGTGTGTGTGTCAGCCGCAAGTTGCAGACGTAAAGCAAATTGAAGCGCGAATCAACAATAAATTAGATAGCTAAACATGATAGCTAAACCAAAAGAGTACCCTATGAAAGTGATATAAGGGAAATGCCACACTAAATGTCAGCTTGAATCAAAGTGATAAAATTCCAGAGAAACATAAGAGAGAGCTAATTGGTCAGAGTTTTTTACAAATCTATTCAATTTAATATGTTATATAAATAAATAATACCTATTTTATATACACCTCTATTCTGTCCACAACTTGATCTACTTTCAACAAATTATTATCCGGCTTATATTTACAGGGTATTTCGTCTGCTGCTTTACAATGGGCTGCACAACAACGATAGCAAATATAAAAGACAAAACACAAACAAAAAAAAAAAAAAAAACTTTTTGGACAGCAAAAAAAAAAAAAAAGCGCCAGACAGACGCAAAAAAAAATGAAGAAGGCAACGCAAAAAAAAACAACAAAAGCTGCGAAATAGTTAATGAAAAAGTAAATAAAAATTGTTAAACGATTTGGGCAGCCATGCGACTGAGTCGTAAAGCCATATATATATATACCTACATATATATATATATATTATATATATTTATATACCAATACATATCTATGTATGTATGTTGTTTCTATATATACATACTTCAGCTGAGATCTGCGAGTGGCCAGCAACAAGTTTGAGATCTTGATGCCGTGGCCAGACAGCGTGAGCTCAAGTTAAATATTTGGCCATAGCGAATGATCAATCAAAGTTGCCTCAGTGCGCAACGGGAGCGCGATTATTATTATTATTATAAAAAAAAAAAATAATATTACTGAGTTCGTGGGTTCGCAAATAATAAAAAACGAAAGAAAATAAATGGCAAATGAAGCTAGTAAAAGCGTTCCAGTCGGGTACAACTGATTGCAATATACTCGTTCAACGCGCAGCAAAGCAGAGAAAAAAGAAGATACAAAAAAAGAGAGAGAGAGATAGAGACAGAGTGAAAAAGAGAAAGTGAGAGCGAGAGAAATACGGTATATACAGCTTTACTCATTTGCTTTATCATATTTCATATAAATTATTTCTACAAAAATTACAAAAAACCTATATACTCTTCTTATTTCTCTAAAAAAAATTAAAAATAAAAAATCACTCGAAATTTTCCAACAGCAAATCTAGTTCTAGCCTGGCACAATTGGAGCATTAATCAGCCTCAATGCTTGCACGCGCCATAGATTCAATTAAAATTTCCTCATGTTCAATCAGTATCAATCAATCAATCAATTAATCAGCCAAGGCACAAGGTAAGCAAATTAAAAAAAAAAGGGTCTGACAACAATTTGCGTTTCGTTAGCCCAGAAGCCCCAAATATTAACTCAAAGTACAATATATTATAGTAAAGGGGGGAGAGCATATAAAATATTCATATTAATAAAGGGCTTAATTAAATTGGTATCTTGCTCTATAATTGATAAAGCTGTTCAACTTTTCAGTGTAGGCGTTTATGGCAGGGGATTTTCGCTTTATTTACAGAAGTTTTTAAAGAGTGACAACAGATTAAATTCAATAACCCTTCCCTGAATATTTCTTTGTTTGCCAAATGTTCATTGACATTATATTTCTCTTATAATATTCAACAAATCAAACATAAATACAAAAATTGAATTGGACATATCTTCAAGGTAAATCGAATATCATTTTGTATATTGCATATCAAATGATATACATTGATATATTATGAATATATGAATTGAGCTTTACAAACTCGAGTTCTTATCTGGATGTTGTTTACACACTTTGTACTAGAATGTACCTGCTTATATGGTATACACGATGCCCCATTGATAAAAGCAATAATAATTAGCAAAATTCGCTTAGCAGATAAGCTAAAGCTGTGGGCAATAATAATAATAATATTAATAATAATATTGACCGCAATGATAATATAGCCAAAGTCATGTACTTAAACATTGCGATTCTCTCTCACACACACACACACACACACACGTGGGTCTTCGCGTCCATTGTGAATGTTAAGTAAGATAAGTAAGTGTGAGTGGACCTTGAAATTGACAAACAGCTGTATATTCCCCTCTCTGTCTAGCACTCTCCCTAACTCTTTCCCTCCGTTATCAGTATATTGGAAAACAACAAATAAAGAACTGTAAAAGCAAACAGCATGAAACGAAAACAAATGGAAATGGAAATAAAGTGAAATTAATAAAATATGCGCGTCATATGTAAATTGTTTTTGTTTCTGCCTTTTTTATTTATTTTTCTTTTTGTTTTGTTCTTTCCCCTTTTCTTTCAACCAAGCTTAGTCGCCATTTTGAATTACAGGCACGTGCTTTTTCTGTTGTGGGATGAATCTCTACACTTTTGTGTGGAGACTAAGCACACAACACAGCCCGTTGACAGTTCTCTTCTGCTCAAGCTTCTTCTTCTTCTTCTTCTTCTGTCGATTCTGTTCTCTATTATTCGCATTCGTTGTCAATTATGCATAAAACGAGGCATTTTTCTGTTTGGCCTACAAATTTGCACTTATTGTTGTGATAAACTATTAAAGAGAATTCGCTTATTGTTGTTGTTGTTGTTGTTGCTACAGTTGTTACAGTTGTTCCAATTGTTGCTGCTGCTGCTGTTGTTGTTGTTGTTGTCGTCGCAGTTGACAGTCGAAATTATCAGCGTTCGCATGTAGTTAACAGCCACTGTAACAGCTGTGTGCGCTTTGTTGTTTCACTCTATACAAACACATATATATCTAGCTCTCTCTCTCTCTTTCTTTCTCTCAGTCTGCTCGCCCTAAGCCCACAGCCCACAGACCACAGCGCCCCGTTAACCAGCTGAAGGTGACTCATTATCACTTCTAGCTGCAGCAGCTGTAAAATGCATTCGGAATTTATAAAGAATGTTGAGAAACTGTCGCTCAGCTGATAGAGCGCAAGTGGTAAGGGCCATGCAATTGGACGACTAGCGACATACCCTGTAAAACATATATACATAGCATATGTATATTATTAAATTATTATGTTGTAGAATCGAAATACCCTGTATATAATATTTTAAGCTCTATAAATGGTCTTGGTATATTTTGATGCATTCAACTGATGGAAATAAATATACCCAGCATTATCTAGGGTAATTCAAAAGCCAAACAAAATGTGTGTTTAAAGCACTTTTACGAACAGATGCGAGTGTCCGCTCAGCCGATTACGCCGTATACTAATTAAATGCAGCATCCCAGTCATTTTAGAGATGCATTTAAGAGATAAATTTTTACGGAAATTATTCACGAAAATATTTGTAAACGCAAGTTACATTTGAGAGCAGGAAAGAAAAAAAAAATCAACAAGATGATCTTAAACAGAACGAAACAAAGCTTAATTGCTTCCGCAAACAGAGACAGAGGCAGGGAGGGCAAAGAGAGCGAGAGAGAAAGGGATAACGATGACAATAACAGGTGTGTGTGTGTGTCTGTGAGTGTGCGCGTGTGTGTAGACAGGGCTCCGACGTGTCTTCCCCGTTAGTGATAGACAACGCAGAGCGAGGGAGGCAAGGAGACAGAGCGGGACAGACATGAAGTTAAATGCGTTTCAATTAGCATCATCTGATTTGAGAGTTAAGACCGACCAATCGACCGAACAGCGGCGTCGGTTGCTCTCAGGCCAATTGTATGCAAAAACATAAAGCAAACAAATATCGCTGAGAATAGGGCGAGAGCAAGAGGGACGGGTAATCGAAGTAACACAACTGGCCGATCAGCCAATACAAATATGTTGTGTAAATAAGTTGGGTAAACAGTTAAGTATACTATGCGCACATATTTACGCGGCAATAAACAAAACAACAAAAGAATTATAATAACTAAGTTCAATTTGATTAAGCCAAATGCGCAGCCTAACGGCAGAATTCGAGAAGGGAAAACGAAAAATGGAATACAAAACCAAATAAAGCATATATTCGATGCGTGAGTGCAATCGTTATATGAATCGATACACAATATATGACTGCTATATTAGTGTAATAATATCTTAAAATCTAAAACTTAATATATATTGATTAATCATCAGTCTATAATATAATAATATTAATTATTCTTTATAATAAAGTTCAGGATTCCAGAAATGTGCGTTGTTATATCGGATTATAGCACACTTCATTTAAGCATACATAATTCAGATATTATAAAGCACAGGCAATTCAAGGGGTTTTATGTGCATTTATCATTTTTTCCCAAAAAAAAATTTGTGCTGAAAATTTTCCTAAGTTTTTCATTATAACCATCCCACAAAAACATAGTTATAATACATACACTTTACTATATGAATTATCTAGTGCATAATTATATAATATCTATTATCATTTGCCTATTCCCTTACTCATCAATTATCTATTATCTAGATACTATTTATTGATATATTATATTTATTTATTTCAATTTATTTTCTGTTATATAAGTATTATTTATCATATAATGTCATTTTATCTATTCAATTTATTATATTATGGTCTATTAACTATTATCTATTATATATCATCAATCATCTTTCGTCCATTATTTACCACTTAAATCATAAATAAAATATATGGTCATATATAAGTATATCTGTATTACTATTATAATATATGGACCAAGTTCTTCTCTAATATTTCCTTTAAATTATTTTACGCATTATGTAGATATAATAGATGTGAACTCTAAAGATACTTGTGCTAGCATATATTGTAGTGTATATATACCCTACATGAATGTAGTCTGTAAGCATAACTCACCTTTGTCTTGGTCACAATGTTTGTGGCCAGTTTAACTACGGCAAAGTTTCCCTTTCCGATCGTTTTCTCCAGTTCGTAGTAGCCGACACGTAAAAGTTTATCCACAGATATTTTGCTCGTCGATGGCACTTTGTAATTTTGTGGCGTTGATGTGGAGGCGGCCATTGCACTTTGTTGTTTTTGTTGTTGTTGTTGCTGCTGTTGTTGTTGGTGTTTGTTTTGGTAATTGGCTAAAGTCGCGTTGCCTGCGCCGCCTCCCTCCCACTCGTTGTTGTTGTTGTTGCTCTTGTTGCTTTAGTTGTTGTTGTTGTTGTTGTTGTGAACGCAGGAAGTTCACTTAAGCTGCATTTTCTTTTGTTTGCCGAGCTTGAATTCATTTGCCATACAAAGCCGCTGCTGCTGCACACACACACACATACACGCATTCACTCTCACTCACACACATACATTCACTTACACGCACTCACACACACACACACACACACACACGCGCGCACGCACACACCGAGGAACAGCAGCAGCGAAAAATTATAATTCGATTCGTAGCTTTCAAATTGAATTGTTGCAATTATTTGAGCGTTGCATTCGGTGTGTCAAAGGTCAACGGCAGCTGCTTCGTTGCAGTTGTTGTTGCTGTTGTTGTTGTTGTCCTCGTTGTTGTCGCTGTGGCATCTGCTCCCGACTGGGCCATTGGACACGGCCACGTGGCCAAAATGCAACGAGCACGTGAGGCGTCTCCGATTTGATTTGACTTGTGGCACGTTGACTGCTTGAAACGCTTTTGTTGCTTGTTATTTCTTGATATTTGTTGTTGCTATTGTTGATATTCTTGTGGTTTTTGTTTTTGTTGAGGCGTTTTCTCTTTTCACATTTTTAGCCTTGTTGTCGCCGTGCTGCGTTTGCAAACATTAAACAGAAAATAAAAAGCAATTAAAAGTAAATCACATTTGATATTTGACCTTCGTTTGCTGTTGTTGTTTTTTTTTTTTTTTTATCACTTTTGCTGTTTCAGCTACTGTTGCTAGTGGGCGTGGCCAGCCAACAGCTGTTGTCTCTTTTATCTAAGGCAAACAGAAAACCTACACACCACAACACCTAGGCAACAACTTATGGTGGACAGTGTAGTAAACCAGTGTCCGCCTCTCTCCTCGCTCCTTCTCACTCTCGCACTTTACACTGCTTCCTCCTCCTACTGGCTGTCGCCTACTACACAAGCATTGCAAGCCACTCTCCCTCTCTCTCTCTCACACTTCGCTCTATGTTCACTCTCTCGCCGTAAGCTGATCTCGCCTGTCCAAGCTGTTGCTTCTTCTTGCTCTCCTTCTTCTCTTCGTGCTTCTCCACCTCCTTCAACTGGCTGTCGCCTGCTACATAAGCTGCGTGCATTGCGAGCCACGACAAAACTTAATGGGTTAATGTACAGCATCAAGGTCGCGTGGCCAGACACACATACACACACATAAACAAACAAACACTCACACACACATGCACACGTTGTTTGAGTGCGCGAGCGAGATGGCGCGTGTGGCCCAAGTCAAGTGGCGAATGTTTGCTGGAGCAAGCGTTCAAGTCAACAAATTCTTTATTGAAATCAATTTAAGGCAGCAACAGCGCGAAATAGTTGTGGATAGAAGAAGAGCTGCGCAGCGCAAACACAAGTACTCACACACACACACACGCACGCAATTCTGCGGCCAATTGAAGCTCGAGCTGCAAAGAATTGAGTTGTAAAGGGCTTAGAAAAATTTGGAATGCGCTACAGTTTGCTTAGGCAGTAAGGGGAGTTACGATTTAAAAAAAAAAGTTGCATAAATAAACTGTGAGTATTTTTATAGCAAGGAAAAAAATTTTTATAAAAAAAATTTGCATTTAAGTTCATTTGCTTCATATTTAAACGAATACTAAAGTGAATCCGCTAATCTTACTAAATCCAAGACATTATTTGCTCAAATACAAAAGCTGGCTGCTGTGAGCCTCGCCGAACACATAGAAAGAGACCTTCCATTTAATATTCAAATTACCTACGCACTTTCAAATGCCCCATTGTGCTTGCTTTATAGAGTATAACAGCACATACACATACGCATAAGCACACACACACACACACACATACATTTGATATGTATAAATGACGTATAAGTTTTGTAAACAATTTGTTAGTGCGAAAGAGCAACGGCAGCTGGTGTGGCCAGCCAACAATGCAAAAAACGATTTTTAAGTGGTTTTTCTCAGCCATTTAATTTTCACATTTTCACGTTTCTTGCCAATGTTTTGAAGCGAGTGCGAAGCGAATCGAATCAAATTATTAAATACCAATTGAAAATGATGTTTTGTTTGTTTATTAAACGAATAGGAAAAGACACAAAACAGTTCCAAATGGTCGCAGCAGCAGCGATTCGATGCTGGAAAGGGAGTCGGGCCTGAAGCAGAGAGAAAACACACACACGCACACACATAACTGAAAGTCAATGTACAAAAATCAACAGACTGCGACTGCAACGACAACTGCGACGACGACGACAAATGTTTCAACTAAATGGATGCGAATGCAGTGACGCCGTTGACCTGTGCCTGGAAGCGCCGCATCAAAGCTGAATGAACTTCCAAAATGGAAGCAGCATTTGAAGCTGGAGCCCCATTTGACTTGACAACTTCCAACGCACGCACGCAAACAGAGAGAGCGAGAGAGTGAGAGCAAAAGAGAGTTGCGAAAGCGTAGCCAGCTGTAAAAGACGTCACAAGGCAGCCTCGTTTTACGGCGAAATTAAGACGAATAATCATCATGAGATGTGCGTCGATGTGTGCTGTCATTCACAACTGAAGCGGCACGGCAAAGTGGGCGGGCGAATTGAATGCCGGACGACCAAAAAAAAGTTTAGTTAGACAACTTAACTGTAAATCATTAAATTGGGATAGATCAGTTTAGGCAAAAGCTACTTAATATTTGGAATGGCGCTATACTTATGAAGAGTACTGTAGGCATATGTATGTATATACATACATGCATGCATACATACATACACCATATCTGTTGGGCATAGCTGATAACTAAGGCACCGCAGTAGTTCTTGTTACTGTTGTTGTTGCTCTGCTCGCACTCATGCCCTCTGTTGGCGACAACAACAAACCGACATTAAAATCAGAAAACGCAAAATAAGAGAATGATTAAAAAAACAACAAGCATAACAAAAGAAAACCAAAAACAACAAAAGTCGCGCGCGCATGAAAAATAAAGAAAGAGTAACAACAACATTCAAGCAAAGTAAATGAGCCAACAAATATAAAAGAGTAGAAAAAACAAAAGCTAGAGAACGACTTCGACTTACAAACAGCAGCGACAGCGGCAGCGGCAGCCGCAGCAGCCAGACAGCAGAGACGACAATAGCAACAACAGTACAGAAGCGCCAGCACTCAGAGCAGAAGGCAAATAAAACGCAAGAGCAAGCAGCAGAGCGCGCGACGACATGTGTATGTGTGTGTAGTCGGCGGGGGCGCAGCAACAGTTACGGGGCAGACAGGTTACGTTATGCGTGTGTGAGTGCGCTGGCATATTCATGTATATATACATATATATATATACAAGTGTATGTGCGTTTATGTGTGCCTGGGTAGGTTCAAGGAGTCAAGGAAATTCGCAAAAAAACAACAGCAGAAATTACAATATACATATGAAGCAGCATGATGACAATTACACACACACATACTTGCGCTCACGTGTATGTATGTGTTTGCGGAGGGGCGAAAACGAAACTTGTCGAGGTCGAGCATACAAAACCACTCGAATAATACGTACGTAGTATGTGTGCAAACCGAGCGAAAGATAGAGAGCGAGAGAGAGGAAAACAGTGAAAGCACACAGCGTTTACATATGCACATGGTTGATAACGAATGAAAAAAGCAAAATTTACAAACGCAAGGTGTCCAATTAGACCACTCAACAGCAATTAGCTTTTCTTCTTTGGCTTATTTGCGTTTTACTGGAGTTGCTATGACGTTCGCAGTCAAACAAACACACACACACATACAGTAGCACACATGGGTTTGCGGGCAAAAGCTGAGCGCACACTCACACACACGCACAGTACAAACACATACATATGTAGCTATGCAATCGAAAAACGTCACGACTTCCAAGTGGAAAAGCGTACGTAGTTTTCGCCGTCATTTTGGCTGCGAGCAAACAAAAAAAAAATACACCAGCATAATTGCCATTCATGAATATTTTTTGCTTCCGCATGTCGCCGCACATATACATATATACACACACACAGTCACACACGAAATCAAATAAGAAATTACATTTGCACACGCATACATGCGTATGTATGTGTTTATAATTGATATTTAGTAGGCAGCGCCTCTCCCTCTCCCTCTAGCTTTATAACATTTTTTTTTTGTTGTTTCTACTTTTCCAGCCGCAGCAGCCGCCCAATCAGCAATAGCAACAATAACAAACACTGCCTCAAATATGAAACACTTTGTTTAATCTATGTTTCATTCCAATTTAATTTTTGCTTTTTGCTCTTAGCGTACACATTACGAATGCTTTCTATCTTTTATATTAAATTTTGTTTCAATATTTCATTTTTTTCATTTGTCGCCAGATTTCTTTTCACGTTGAATTTGTATTACATATATAAATATGCATATATACACACATATATAAGTATATAATTATATATTTATATATGTTTATATATATGAATTCTTATCACTTGTGCCTTGTTATTGCCTTTTGGCTTTTGCTGGTTGTTTTCTCGCTTGCACTGAACTTGAACGCGTGGGCGTAGCATGCGCCGCGATTTATATTATCAAGTGCCTTCGCTTTCGGCTATTGGAATTTTTTTATATTGTTTAAGTGGCGATTCTTATACGATTTTAGCGCGAAGCGCAGCCCACCTGCATACGAAGCAAAAACTCGGCACCAACTGATTGGCATTTCGTTCTCTTCACACACACAAACTCACACACTCGCACGCACACATACGCATTCACTCTCTTGTTCACACACAGTGTTGCATGCGACCGTTGATCGCTGTTAAATAATGACACCACTCTGTTAAGTTAAGCAAATTTCTCTGTTAGTATTTATTCAAATAAGTTGGCAGCACACATCTGTACTTGGCGGGCATTATGAACAAAATTTAAGTATTCTTTCTTCCACAGGTTAATTGAATGTCCGATAATGTATTGCACATCACATGGTGCAATGCAATTAGTTAAAGCACTTTTGATTCTGACTGATCCCAACAGTAATCTTTGTTAAATTATAGCACAGCTGAACGCCTAGTCAGTGGCGTCATTGTCAAACAGGGTTTCGTATATTTTCTTCCAGCCGTCGTTCGTGCGTTCGGCACTTTCTCTGCCAACTTCTCGCTTAGCAACGTCTTGGGCAACTCTCGTGCCTCATACCAATGTGGATTGACGCGTTTCACCCAAAAGCTGCTACCCAAATGCAGACCACTTAGCAATTTGGCAACGCAACCGACATTCACCATTCTGTTGTTTGGCTCTTAATTTTTGTCTAATTCTTTGTTCTTTGTGTGTGTGTATGGGTGGTTTGATTAGGTTCTTGATTATTATTATTTTTTTATTGTTAATACTGAAGTACCAAAAAAAATTATATTACGGAAATTTAATGTTTACCGTTCGAAAGCCTAAGTTAAGTGTGCTCAAATTTGACAACTTCGACTTTATCTCGAAAAATTCAAAATCTGAATTTAAATTACGCGCCTACTCAACTGAAAGAAAAAAGTCAACAGCAACAGCAACAGTGACTTCCACTTGAACGAGAGAGCTTAAGAGAGACAGTGAATGCGCCCTGTGTAGATTTCCAATTGGAGTTCCAATTCGAAACCTTGCGCTGGAACTGAAGCCGCAATGAATGAAATGT